TTAAATGATGTGCATATTTCTTAGTTCCTGAGCATCTTAAATAGTTGAATAGCATACAGTTCTTTGTCCTTTTTCTTCTAAACTAAACTGTATGTATTTATAGATGCTGGTGTCTGAAATAGAAATGAAACAGAGCAAAATGGATGAGTGTCAAAAATATGCGGAACAGTACTCAGCTACAGTGAAGGTAAGAAGACTCACTTACTCTAGACAGATTTAATATTCAGGTATGTGATTCTACAATGTACTTTTAAAGCCATACAAATAATTTCACACAATATTAAAAAGTAAAAAGAGGAAATATTCATTTGAACTTTTTTGACACTTTTCTAATAATTCTTCATGAAATCTGAGTCAAATAACAGCCTGATGCATTCATGTTCTCTGTGTCACTCATGTGCACGAGCTTGTGCGCAGCCTCCCAACACTCACACCCACACACACCTGAATGAATACAGAGCTCTCAAGTTAGTTTCTTATCACTTTTTGCTCTTTCTTTTTTCTTTAACATGGCTAGAGTATTCTGTGGGAGAACTTCTAACTTTCTCGTTTAGGGGACATTTCTCAAGCTTTTCAAGTTACTGTTGACAACTTCTCAACTTTAGCCTTCCAGATCCACAGTACCATTGCCTAGCTGGAGGGAAAGGAGGTTGCTTGTAACTATTTCCATGAGCTTCCAAACAGACTTGGGAAATTACCTAACTACCTTACATGTTTCTGATTTTATTCCCACCTTGGAAACAGCTCCAGGAGTGGATAGATTTCTAAAAATGTAGTGTGGTTTTGTTTGTTTGTTTTGTTTTTTTGTTTTTGTTTTTTTGGAGACAAGAGTCCCACTTTGTCTCCTAGGCTGGAGTGCAGTGGTGCAATCATAGCTCACTGATGCCTGAACTCCTGGGCTCAAAGGATTCTCCTGTCTCAGTCTCCTGAGTAGCTGGGACTACAGACATGCACCTCCCTGCCTGGCTAAAAATGTAGTTTTACAGTACAGTAATGTGTCACTTAACAACAGGGATATGTTCTGAGAAATTCATCGTCAGGTGATTTGTCCTTGTGCAGACATCATAGAGTATACTTAAACCTGGATGGTATAGTGTATTACATACCTAGGCTATATAGTAGAGCCCAGTGCTCATAGGCTGCAAACCTGTATAGCATGTTTCTGTACTGAATACTGTAGGCAATTATAACACAATGGTAAATATTTGTGTTTGTAAACATATC